ACAACCTATAGTTAAAGATTTCAACTCAAATTTAGAACAGCTGCCGACTGATGGTGTCAGAATTATCCCGCTGGAAACTGGGACACTCACAAGTAGCTCCTGCAGCATCTGAAAAATGTTCTTCAGCTCATGAGGTGGAGCCGTCTCCAGCTGGGCCTGTGACACACAAGTTTTAGAACACATGGTCGGTCACTGACTTTAACACATGGCGACCGATTTCCCTTATTAAAAAACAAAAAACAAACAAACAAATGATTATTTTTTTACCTTAAGTAACTGCAGCACTCCCAGGGAGAAGGGCTCGTTACAGTATGAGCTGTAAGTCACCATTTCTATCATAAGAGACAAAGGCCCGGACAGCTCCCGCATGGCAAACATCACCTAATGGATATTTGTGTCGGGGTAGAAGTAACAGAAAACAATCATTTTAGCGAATGAGCTTTTATGCTTAAAAAAGAAAATGTCTAAACAAGAAAATGTTTGCCTGATGTTACCTCCAGGAGGTACGGCTGTCCCTCTGGGGTGAAGAGAGATGCCAGAATGTCAGCATGAAGGGGGAGGAGAGAGGTGGAGGACGGGACGGTGTTCACATGCAGCTTAAACCCTCCCGGGGCTGTGGAGGCAAATGTGAGACTGAGTGAGGCCAGGCCTTTGATTTTAGGGTTAAATCTGAGAATAACCCGAGCCCTGAGGAGTCGCACCGTGGGTCCGCTGGGCGCCGAGGTCAGAGTGCAGCGTGATGAGGGCCAGAGTGCTGTGTAGGTGGAGAAACTCCCGAGCCTGAGCGGGACTCCACCGACGATTCTGCATCAAAACCAAAGGGAAGCCTCAGTCGATCTTAGGTGATTTATAAGATTTACAAGTGCTCGCGAGAGACCAGATCGATAAATGAAAACATATTACATTAGTCTAACTATCTCTTGCTGATATACCTGGTTGTTCTGCCTATTGGGCCCCAACAGGAAGATGAGCATCCGACGATAAGCGGAGTGCTTCAGCAACAACTGGCAGGGGCCGCAACCCTGAGAGCAAAGCAGCACGCACACTCGTGACGAAAAAGAACTCATCTTAAGGGGCATCTGTATAAATGGCCGGGGCTTGAGCGGGATGAATTACCCTTTGAGCAAAGTTACTGAAGAGGTTGAAGTACTGCGCGCAGTTTTTCACATTTTCAGCCACGTCTTTGTCCAGCAGGGAGAGAAGGGCATCGGTTAAATTGTCCAGTCCCGGGTCTCCGAAGAGCAGCGCGCTCTCCAGAGTCTTTTCGAGGATGGACGCCACCACGATCCTCACCTCTCGAACACTGCACTCCAACAGGCACACCCTAAAGGGGGGAGACGTTTCACCAAACACGCTCAGTCGTAGAAAAAGAGAGAGCCGGGGGAGAGCGGTCAGAGCCAGCCTTCACACGGGCCAGCTCGGCCTTGAGACTCCAAGCAGTCTGGCATTTTTCGATCTCCTTTCCTTGTGGGGGGGGGGGGGGGGGGGGGGGGGGGGTGGGGTGTGGTTTTTGAGGGGGGGGGGCTGGGGTTTACTGCTGCCCAAACGTCCGATGTTCGACAACCAATCCCGTCCGGAGCTCATGCGATGGTGCCATTATGAACAGCGGAATCGTGTAAGCCAACACCCTTCTCTAAAACACACACATGCTTGGGAAAAGTGTTCCCTGGCTTTGAGTGTTAACATTCCTGAGACGAGCCTGCCACTTCAGCCAATCAGCATCCAGCGGGAAGGAAACCCGCAAACAGGTGTTTTTAATACTCCGACTCTCCAAGAGCACTGGAGAGGCAGATGGCACGCTGGTGCAATTAAAAAGCAGTTTTTTTATAGGCATTTATGTTTTTTTTTTGTTTTTCTTTTAAGAACCAAAACTCGGGGATCAGTGTGTGTGTGTGTTTCTATGAGAAGGAAGTGTTTTTTTTGGGCAGTGTTATTACAGTTGGTCCTGTTTTCTTAAGGAATCAGTCACAGGCAGTTACCTGATGATTTCTCTCCCCTCTGATCCCACCAGGTACTGCACCATCCACTGGCACGCCTTGCTGCTCTTGGACAGCAACACCTCCACCGCCGCCATCCACTCCTCTGTGTCCACCCTGTAGGGGAGACGCACCGAGGGTGGGTATGCCGCTCCATAAAGGGGGAGGGCGTGAAACAAAAGCGCGCCTGTTGGGACGAGGGCAGTTACCGGAGTTTCTTTTTGGTGTGCAGGTAGGTGTGGAAGAGGAAGTGAACGGCCAGCTGCAGGCTTTCTTTGGCCATGGGCTGGTAGTCGGGGTGCTTTAGCTTCGTCTGTGGAAAAGCATGGGACACGTTATGCATATGAGTGAGGAACCCGTACACGAGACGAGCCAGCAAAAGACACATACGGCGTTGACTGAGGCCAAGGAGAGAATGAAGTTGAAGTAGTCGCTGTTGTACACGTCTCTGTTCCTCATGAACTTCAGGTTCTCGTCTCTCACGATCTGCACAGAACAGAAGGAGGTCCTCTTACTCCAAACGTCCCAGGCGGTTCCGGCTCTGCGGCTCTGGCTGGTGCTGCTTTACCTGGTAAATGCTGGCCGGCATCTTCTCTACAAACAGGCCCTTCTTCTCCCCCTTTCGGACCAGGCGGGTGAGGAGGGTCAGGCGGTCGTTGTTGGCTCTCGGGGGTCGGGGGGACGACTGCGGGGAAACGTCAGGGGAGGAGGGAGCCGACCTGTGAAACGAACATAGGCGCTTATTAACAATAGAGGGTGGACACATTACTGTGCTGTGGCTGAAGACAAAATGAGCCGTTATTCAGACGCTGAGGTCAGAAACAGATGCAGGAGGAAGTGTTTTGTATATCTGTAGAAGTCGACTCACAGCGTAAGATCCTCGGCCTCCTGCCTCATGATGCTGACTCGGCTTTTCTTGGGCAGGACGGGCGAGTTCTGGTCGCTAATCTTCTGATAAAACAGCATGTAGGCATTCCAGTACCTTCTCCGCACGTCAGGGTAAGGGTTGGCTGCGCAGGTGCAAACACACACACACATTAGGCCTACTTAAACACAGCCCAGACACTAAGACGAAGCACGGCTTGCTGCTTACACTGGTCGTAAACTTTGGGCCGGTACTCGCCGCCGAAGCACTCATACTCCAACGTTTCATCGTTCATGTCGAACTCTTCCACGACGTTGTCGTTGAACTTGTACCAGCGCCCGCGAGCATTCCCGCTGTCAGACAAAAAAAGGGAGAAGGGGAAGAAGGCTTAAGCATTGGACACGAACTTTAACAGCAAACCGCAAAAAGATCAACGAGAAAACATAAAGAGAGAAGGGAACTATCCTCAAAAGCCATAAAGACACACTCTTGTCATACAGGTTAAAAAAAAAGTAAAAAAATAAATAAGTGGCTGCTGTGCTATGAGCCCCATCTTCTGGCTGAAAACCAGAGTGTGATCCTGAACAAGAATAAGAGCGAGCAGGGTCCACTTCCCCTGCGAGCATTCTTGCCTTTCCCAGCCAGACATCTGGAGACGTTTACCAACTAAAAGAGTGGTTGGCGCCCCCGAGGGGGTCTTTCTAAACACCGCCTGGAAAACTAGAGCATCAGGTCTGTGGGCTCCACTGATCTCTGCTTGTTTGGTGAGCGGGGACAAAAAGAGGGGAGGTGATCTGAGAGTTTTCGAGCCCTGAAAAAGAAAAAGAAAAAAACCTTCCCTTCTCTTACCGCCTGTCTTTAATGAAGGAGTAGTAGTGACCGGCGTGTGCCTGGCCGCTGTGGACCACAACGCCCACCAGCTCGTAGTTCTCCGAGATGGTGACCTTCTTCCTGGGGGAACCGCCGGACGTCCCGTCGCCTCGGCCTTCGCTTCCCTCGCCGCTGCAGTCCTGACGAGCCATTCCGGAGACGGTGTAGGGCTCCATGTTCAACACCCAGGGGAACTGTGGGTTAAAGAAAAAAGAAAGACCAAAACTCAACTCGAAATATTTTTTTAAGGTCCCCCAATAAATCACTTATGATCATTAAAATTAAAAAACAAAACAAAAAAATCTTCCCACCCTTATCTGCTCATCGTATTTGATGGAGCGGCCGCTTTCCCAGTCAAAGCCGAAGCGCATGAGGTGAATGCAGAGAACACTGGGCAGTGATTTGATGCACGTCCTCTTGACCGTGGTCCTCTGTGCGGGTGAAAGACGAGCATTTAAACGCTTTCATTTCTCGCGATGACGCGGTCGTACCGTGTGAAGCTCGCGGGGGGGGGGGCACCTTTTCCTTGCACTTCTCGCAGTAGTAAGCGTTGCTGCCCTCCAGCACCTCCCCTCTGACAAACTGGTCTAATGAGATCTCCAGGCTCTGGCAGGAGGTCACCCCCAGGTTCAGGGCCATGAACGTTTCCTCACGCTCGTATCTGGAAAAAGACAGGCCGGCATTGAGACATGGCGCATAGCGGCCAGGAGCGTTGTTTCTACTGACGGCCGAGGCTCACCTGTGTGGGCAGTCTTTGCAGATCTTCTGGTCGGAGAAAATTCCCTGAAATGTGTTTTTGAAGATTTGCTCTCGACCCATTTTCTGAGGGGGGTAGAAGATTTGAAAACGGTCATATGACTCAAACCTGAGCTCAGGAAGTAGATAAAAGAAATGGGCGCCGAAAGGTTAGCTCGGACCGACAGGAACCTGAGCATGTTTTTACAAAAGAGTAACATTCATTTGGTAATTCTGCTACTTTCCCACCGGAGCCGCTTTGAGGGGATAAAACATTTCTCCCTAGGAGCATTGCCCCATGCAGCTGAGGTAATACCTTGAGATGCTCATCCAGCTGGTCCACCAGGCTGGTGAAGAACTCGTATGCGTCCTGCTGCTCTCGCACATACAGCTCCTTGTTCCACATCTTGAAGATCTAAACCGGGTTTGAGTGTGGGCGTCAGTGTGCTACGTATCTGCCATTATCAGCGTTATTTCAACAGGTCCTTAACTGGGATTCATTCGACTAGGAGGAGCCCGTTACCTTCCAGAAGTTCTCTGGCACGTAGTACTGAAGCTTGCTCTCCATCAGGTGGCCAAACAAAGACTGGACCTGATAAAAGACACTCTCCTCTGGCTGCTCTGTGTCATCCTCGATGGATAGGAAAGCCTTAGAAAAACAGAAAAACCTCAACTGATTAAATGTTCATCATTTGACACAAAGCCTGTGCTCAAACAGCAGACGCCCTCCTCAGAGCTCGTAGGAGTGTGTGTGTGTGTGTGTACCTCGGGGAGGCCCGGCTGCATGTAAAGCTGCTGGAACACAGCGTTCATGTAACACGTGGCTCCACCGTTCTTCAGCCCCACAAAACCTGACACCGACCGGCTCTCCACAGGCGGGAGGTACTGACGGCACAGGCATAGACAGAAACGTTTAGAGACCTGCGTGACACCAAGTGCTTGGTTTTATCTCGGCGAGTGTCTCACGTCGAACTCCTTGCCCAGGGAGGGGTCGGACTGGTGGTGCATAGACAGCAACTCTTTGGTGATGAGGCGCAGGTTGGAGAGCGAGCTGTCTGCCAGCATCACCAGCACCTCGTAGGCGGCCAGTCTGCTGCTGGCCGTGCTGCACCTGAGCACAAGTTTCAGTCCAGCTGTTATTGCTAAGCGGCCGGTCGGTTGTATGAAGAGAAACAGTGCGGTTTTAATGTGAGCGTCTCTTTAACGAGCACATAAAAGGACATCCGTACTTGGGGTGGAAGTCGTGGCTTGGGGCCGGGGAGGGCGTAGGGTTGGAACTGTTGATGATGATGCGGGAGGCTCGAAACAGGAAGTCATCTAACAATTGCTGGATCAGAGATGGACCTGAGGAGAGAGTTGTGCCACATAACATTATGACTGCGTCTTTAGCAGACCGGTTAAAAAAGACAGGGAGAAACAAAAAAAAAAATGTAAATAGCTTTTTGCGTCCTCACCGAGATGCTCCTTCTCGTTGCCGCAGAGCGAAAGCAAAGTTTTGATGAGTCGGAGGTGTCCTGCCAGCAGGATGTTGTCTGCCTCGCTGGTCTCCATCTCAGAGCTCCAGCTGGGCTCGAAGTTGTCCAGCCAGGAGATCTCGTCCTCCAGCATGGTGGCTGCGCTCACCTTTAATACCTCCATCTCTGAAGCTGGGATGGGTCGGGCAAGTTGGAGGGGGAAAAAAAAAAACAGAGGGACAACCGGAAGATATAAGTATAAGATTAAACAGAATGAGTCATGTGAAGACAGGTAGGAGCCGAGGCATTACAGAATAAGCAGAAAAGTGACTTACTGGTGAGGTCGTCCAGGAGCTGACACCGAAGGTCGAAGTACTCCGTGCACTGGGACAGCAGCCTGAGTAGGAAACTCAAAATCAATCAATCTTATCAATCAATTCAGTTTACAAAGATTTAATTTCAGAAATGGGAGATTGTTTTCCATCAATGCACTCCTTATACTTCCTGATTTCAGCCTTGCCCAAAAAAAGAGCTGTTGCTACCAAAGTGCATTACATATTTATTTTAATATGCAATGCGTGTTCTTTTTTTCAGTTTTTACAGTGGCAGTGCCTGCCACTTTTGCTTTGCAAGTACGTTTCAGAGCTTGAATTCAGGTTACCTCTCTGAAGGGATGATTGAAATAAAAAGCAGGTTTTAAAAAAAGAAAGGGGATGGAGGAAAAAAAGAAAAAGATTCACATCGGAAATCAGATTTGCAATTTAAAAAAAAGGAGATTTAACCTTTAAGCTATTTCACCAAGCCCTAGTGTGTCCACAAACTCAAGATTTTTTTGTTTTAGTTTGTGTTTGCTGTCTTGGTACCTTTGATTGATGCCTCTCATTACAGATGTGGGACTCCACAGTGGCAGCTGAGCAGTTAAAATGACTGAGAGGAGGAACAAATTTGGTTTCTGGACTTCGGGGAAGGCTGAGGTGTCAGATTGGCTCAGGGTGTACATCTGATCACAAGCCACACGGCGGATCTGAGAAGGGAAACGGGCAAAGAGAGCAACTCACTACTGTTCCACTTTAGAGGAACATTCCCTGTGCGCGGGCTGCTTGGGCAGATATTTACCTCTCCGCTGGGCGATCCCAGCAGAATGTCAATGATGAAATCACTCACAGCGGGGAGGTTGTAAAACGAACCTGGAGATAAACCGAAGCAAAGGGGGTGTGAAATCTGTGGGGGAGCACAAAAAAACCCTCTTTGTAGTGTTCTTGTGTGCGCTCCTGCGTGGGCCTTACACAGCTGCTGGCAGCGTAGCTGCAGGCAGGTGACCAGCAGAGACAGGGCCTCGCGTGCGATGATGGCGTCCTTGATGGAGACGCTCTGCTGTCGGACACAGATCCCGGCGTGCAGCGCCGTGGGCGTGGTCTCGCCCTCGCTGCTGGAGCTACAGTTGCTGCCTGCAAACACAAAGGAGGTTTGCTCTCCTTTCTGTTCTTGGCGTTTCTCTTTTAGCGGCGGATACAGGAACAGGAAGCTGTCCTTCTTACCGGTGCTGCTGACCCTGGTGCGGACTCCCTGCGGCAGGAGCGAGGAGTGGGTCTCTCTTATTGGCTGCGGGCTTCCTACCAGGTCTAGACGGCCGGCTGCGGCCGCCCAGGTCAGACGCATGAAGCAGGCCACGGTGGAAGTAAAGTCCCCCACTTCCATGGTCTGCATAAAAAAAAAGCAGAGGCAGTGCAGTTTAGAGATATCCCGCACAACAGAGACCGCTCGGGTCCTGAAAACAGACTTGGAGTGTTTTCCTGGTACCTGGATAGCAACGCGGGCGGCAGGTATGATCTCTTCGACCCGGATGGACGAGCGCTCGGACAGAGACATCTGCCTGTAGGAGGACTTCTCGGGAGTCCCGCACAGAGACAGCTGCCGCCCTGCTCGTCCCGCGTTACGGAACGGCCGGGACGAAAGCGCATCGCCGTCCCTGATGACATCATCATCCAGCGCTGCAGGCATGCTCTGGCCCACAAGCAGGAACCTGTGAACATGGGGAAACATTTAGATCGGAGGTCCTTTTTAAAACCATTTCCCTGCAGCTGTCCGTTAATTTGCCCACAGCCCGAGTACAGCACACAAAAGACTCTTTAAGAGCTTGAAAAGTATGACTGAGACATGTTGGAAGGAAGGGATAAGACTACCCCAGGTACCCACAATGAGGAATGAAACAGCTCACTTTTCGTGAATTTCCGAGTATCCTGCTCTAACTATATAATCACACCACATGTATAACTGTTTGTTAGTGTCGGCGTTGTAACAGTTGGTGTGAATTTCACTGTTTGTACTGTTGTTTGTAGGCATGAGCCTTATCACGCATTTGGCCCGGCAGCTTTTTCAAGCACGGCACACAAAAGTTTAAAAAACTGGGGGGAGCATGGCCAGCTAAAATAATAGCAGGACGGCAGTTCTGATGAAAGCTGCCTTTTCAATGTTACACAGCAGCACAGCAGGCTTAAATGTGGCCTAAAGAGCTGGCAGGGAATGACACTATTAGTCCAAACAAAATAATTTGTGGCACAAACATATGTATGAAAACATCTATAGAATTTCAGGGCTGTTGTGCATGTGTGAAGCTGGTGATAGATGTCTTGCACCTGGCCAATTGCAGGCAAATTGAATAGACCCCTTGTCTGGTCTCGTAGTCCACTTCAGAAGGGATGGAATCTCTCTGCATAACATTCACCACCAGACTGAAGAGAAAAGAGAAGGAAAAGAAAAAGAAAAGCATGTGTCAAGACAAAAATAGAACAATGCTGCTGGGAGATATAAGTCTTGTGTGTCCTGCTACACATTATTATCCTACAAATGTGCAAAAAAACCTTCTGACAATCAAACTCTGAACACACCTAAGACCTCCGGCTTTAAGGAAGTTCTCACAGAAGGACTTGCTGCTGGTTTTGGCCATCTCATCATCTGATGTGGGCATGAGCTTTGAACTCAATACCTGTGACATAAGCGGGCATATAATATGTCTTGAGGTGCGAGAACAACAATAAAGTGGCTGCTTAAGGTTGGAAAATGTTCAGCTGTGTGCAAACCTCAAGATTGTAAAGCACTCTGAATGTTGACATCCCAGGCGCAGAGGATCTGAAAAGGGACTCCAGGATGGACGCTGCACTGGGCTGATGCTGCTGCTTGGAGGTCATGGATGGAGAACGAGAGCCTGCGCCCTGACCCAGGGTGAAAAGTGTCTTCTGCAGAAAAAAGAAAAAGAAAAAAAGAGTTGCACGAGTTAGAACGTAGCTGTGGTCTGAAAAACGACTGCCAACGAATGAAAAGGCGGGACAAGCCAGAAGCGTATGTGACAATGTGATGAGAAGCTACACTAAACACAGACCATCTCTAAGGAGCAGAATTTCTGGTATTTTAGGGTCACAACAGGTTTATAGACACAGAGCCAGAAAATCTAGAAATCGTAAGGGGAAATGATTGCATCAAGAGAGATAAATGGGTTTTGCATCTTAAGTCCTTATTCATGCAAGCATTATTAAAGAGTCTTTACATAAAAACCTAGATATGATTCCTGCCTCTTTTATCCTAGAATGACAGACTGAAGCTTGGCGCTGCAACTTATCAGGGGAAGCTTCTAAACTATAAGGTCATCCCTGCTTAGTGATGTAATAGTGTGCTTAAAGGCACTTTGAGGTACCTGGTGGCTCCAGACGCTGGATTCTTTGGGAACAAAGTTATCGAGAGCGTCCTGCACTTCAGGATCGGTTGGAATCAGTAGCAGCAGCTTTCTCACACGGAGAGTGATCCTGTTGATTACCAAGAAGAAACAGCCAATGAATGTTCGCAACTCTGCAGTTGTCGCTATGTGACAGGTAGATTCCTATGAAGTCAAAGCAGGAAAAAGGGCCATTTGGGGCACAAAAGTAATGGCGACTCTCACCTGGACTCATCCAGGTTGGCCAGCTGGTAAAGCATCTCAAAGACATTGCAGACTAAGGCCATCACCACCCCGGGCAGGGACTTCTCCTGCAGGCAGAGGAACGGTGTCACAGTGCACCACGGCCAGGCTGGGCTCAACTCTACAACTGTTTCAGCGGGGGCCGGACGCTACCTGCTCCAGGGCGTAGGCGGAGTTGAAGACGGCGGAGCTGGAGCTGCTGGAGGCGGATGCTGAAGACTCGGAGCTGCCGGAGGGAGTGCCCGTCCCCGAGCTCTTGACGGTCAGACTCTGCTCGTCGCTGAAGCCGAGCTGGGACAGCAGCTTCTGATCCCGGTTCATGGTCAGCTATCGCACAGGGGGAGGGGCAGAGTGAATATATCAAGAGAAAAGAAACGAATACAGAAAAAAAAAAGGCATAGGCCACTTCAATCAACACCCACCACACTATCATTGGCAAAGATCTGGACATTATCCACCGGACAGCTCAGGTGCTCCGATATCTTCCACCGGATACTTCCTATCGTCTCGTTGCTGTGGGTCTACAGAGCAGGAACAGTCAGGAAGAGGCTGTCCATCTACAGACATCAATTTGGCTCAGAGTGTTACCGGGGATTGGTAGTACCTCTAAGGTGAAGGTGTCTTTGGTTGACTCGTAGGTGATGTGAAGAGTGATCGGGTGTCCATTGAACGAGGCCCCATGAGGTAGAATGGTGCGAGGAACTGAGTACATGTCCTAAACAGGAAGGCACAACAATGTCAGGTTAAAGGATTGGAAGAACACGGACAGTTTCTTTTTCATTCCCGGGCGTGGCTTGCCTCTATAGTGATGACGTAGCGTTCAGCCAGTAGCAGCAGTCTCTCAATTATCACCAGCTTCGTGGATCTACAAGTGACCAGAACAGAAGGCTTTCAACAAATCTTAAAAGGTTTGATTTAGTGAGTGTGCTGCTGTAACAGCAGCGAGTTGGAAAAATGGGTGGAGCGCAAATATGTGGTTTAATAGTTTGAATAACTCTGTTCTTACCCAAACCCCCCTCTGTACCTGGATGGTGATTGTACAGACGTGGCCACCGTCGGCATGGCGGTGGCCGTCAGCATCTTGGTTGCCTTAGTTACGGCATGTGTTAAAGTGGGCCCACCAAGGGCCGAGCTCGCAGCCTGAAAGGTAATAACAAAAAAGAACAAAACATAAAAAAATAATAATAAAAAAAGCTGCTGGGTGTTGATTATCGACAAAAGGCCCAATTATCCCAGCAACATATCAAAGTGCTAACCTCTAGCCGCTTGTAGCAATCAGCAATGAACTTCTTGTGCAAAGACACAGAATCCTGCGAAAAAGCGTTCCGTGAGATTTTACACAGATAAAAAGGATTCAAACCGATATCAAAACAGCAGACTGTGACATTACACCGAGAATGTCACACTTCCACCCACCTTCTTCATTTTGGGATTGAGGTTGGTGTAGCTGTATGTGATAATGAGCTGGATCGCCTCGTTGGCAATTTCTTCGTCAGGCGTTTCCATGGCGATGCGCCAAATAAAATCCATCCCCGCCAGGTCGAGGCGTTCCACGCACTAGTCGGGACAAATGACGGGATAAGTAAAAATAATGGTAACCGAAATGCGGGTTGGTGAGATAACGTGGGGCGCTGGTACTGACCAGCTGGGTTCCCTGGCGTTTCAGACGATGGTCGCACAGATTGACGTTCTCGAAGAAGGTCTTGAAAAGGTTGAAACCTGCGACGCAGAGAAAACACCTTTAGCGGTTTATTGGGGGGCTGCAGGGGCGGCGCAGGGTGCGTCGGGCCTCCCACCATTCATGGTGATCTCGTAGGGCTCCAGTTTCAGGATCTTCTCCTTGAAAAGCTGCTGCTGGACGTCACTCTCGAGGTCATGCTGTCCTTTGGTGAACCACTCGAAACACATCTACCCGAAGACAAACGCAGACTGTTAAAGAGGGCTGACATTTTTTTTATATGCGACGAAGAGAAGATGGAGCTACCCGCTAACTTTTCCTTAAAATTTTAAATCAGGCGTTTTGCTTCCATTCGCTACATAAACTTAATCTCTGACCTTTTAAAAAAGCTACGGGAAATTTGTATTTTTTGTTTTACTCGCAAACTAAAATGGGAGCGTGGGACTGATGCTGTGGCAGTCCTGCCTGCACTCCTCCAGAGCAACTGTCCGGGGAAAGGTGCAGACAAATGACAAACGGCCGAGGACGAGCTCTCATTTGGAGAAAAGAAATTATTAAAAAAAGCATTTTTTACCTCACGGTCGAGCTCGCAGACATCCGGCCCGGACACCAGGCACTCCCACAGCTCTTTGGCTCTGTTCCAGGCCAGGTACACGCTGGCCTCCTGGAGGAAAAACGCCAGGAAGCGCAGGTGGCCGTCCAGGTACTGCGCACAGAGCGAGAGACGTGCGTAGGTTACAGACTTTTATGTTTATCAGCCTTAGGGGGATGTGAACAGAGAAAACGTGATGAGAACAAACCTCCTGGTAGGTGTACCTCCCGTCCACCAGGGTGGAGCTGGAGAGGCCGATGTTACCCGAAGCCGTCACGGCCAGCCGGTGGCAGCACACCAGGGATCCCGTGATCAGCTTGACTATCTCGAAGTTCTTCTTCAAGTCCTGGATGATGCTCTGCGGGGAGGGGGGGGGAGGGGGTTACCGTGGGAACGCCGTCAGCATGGCAGGCCGTTCGGAATTTGTGTGGGTCTGGGGGTACCTTGTCTTGTTTCTGGTAGGTCTGCTTGATAAAAGAACGGGTGATCTCGTGGAGCTGCCGGAGCGCCGGGACGACCCAGACCGCCTGAGGACTGCTCTGCTGAGAGGCCTGCTCATAACACACACACACACACACACACACACACACATACACAAACACATGAAGAACAGAAAACATCTGCTCAAATACATGTAGTCCAAAAGGCCTTACCAAAGGCTCCGTCAACCAGTTCCTTTATCTTTGTCGGTGATTTGAAATCATAAACCCACCATTTTTTTTAAGAAAGGGCTTCTTGAAAAAATAAATAATTTTTTAAGACAGATCCAGGGATACACACAGCACTCGGGTTCAAACCCCTTTTCCTCCAGTTTTTTCTCTAATCCAAAGCCAGAAATTTCAAGTGTCTGTTCTTAGTATCCGTGGTTCTGATTCGATCCCCTGTTCCATGCCCCAAAAATTGTGAGAGCTTCCACCAATGCCAACCTCTCTTCATCAAGACGGCTCTCATCAGAAATCAACACCACCGTGTAATCATTAAGCCAGTGCAAGAAGCCCTCTTAGTGAGGCAAGCCAGAAATCAACATCCACCTGGTTAAATCATGTGCGAAATTGTTAACCTGCGACCGGTGGAAGCCCGCTGTGGTCAAACCCTCCTCCATGATTGTCCGGCAAGCAGTAAGCGGCGATGTTAGACACAGATCGGTCAACGGAGAAACAAATTATTTGGGATTTATTCTCTTACTTTAGCCACAGAGTTAGATTTCTTCTTGCCCCAAGTGCCAATGTGAAATGAGCTTAGTGTGACGCTGCCTTTACTGTCCTCCTGACTGTCAGTCTAGAGACACACATTTCATTTCAAGTAGGACATTTGTACACATCTGCGTAGGCTCCCAATGACACGTGAGATAGGTGAAGCTGCAAAGTGTTCATTCACAAGCAATGGCAGCCCGTTGGGCAGGAAAAAGTGAAGGTGTGTGTGTGAGTATAAACAAGTTGTTCTTAGCCGTGACACTCCAAAGGTAGAAAACAAAATACCTGTATTTTTTTTTACCGATGATGAGGTGCCTCAGCATGGCTGATGCAGATTTTTTTAAAAGGTAAGGTAAAGGGCAAATCTGTGACCCTTTACCTCTATTCTAAATGTGGCGTGCTGTGTAATAAAACGCAATAAGGCAGTTTGTGCTTTCCAAAGAGCAAAAATAATAAACATAAAGTCTTCAAACAGCCAGTTTAAACAGACACGCTCATGTTTCCTTCCCATGCTTATGTGCGCTTCTATGGGGAAATGAAAAAGTCTAATAGGTCAGGGAGGCTGCACCTTTGGTTTCCAGAATGACTACTGAGTACAGCAAGAATCTCTAATTTTAGCAGCCACTTTAGAACGACAGCAAAAACTAACATATGTCAAATTATCTAGCTTGTTCCGCAGTTAAGAATTCCTGCATGCAATTGTATTAAAATGCCTTCTTTATCTAAGTGGCAAGACACAATGCATTTAGAAAGAATGAATGAATTAAACGGCAAAGTCACTCTGAAAAACAACTAAATATCAAAATGGAATATATCCACTCCACAGGGCGATATATTCAGGCCTGGGCAAATGTTTTGACCTCTTTTTTTTTTTGCCCCCTACATATTTTGAGAAAAAATTAAGTTTTAAAGTAAGATTAAAGCCAAATCCCTGATGGGTGGCGCCCTAACTCCTTTGGCCCGCTGAGAATCCATCGGATGCCTCTAATGGGAGTTTCAAAAAGAAAAAAACAAAGTTGAAACGCAGTGTTGATAAGCTAGCAGGGACGTGTTAGCTTTAGAGCAGAGCCGGCAGAAAGACGGGGGCCCGCTGAGCGGCGCGTCTCGGCCCCGTCCCGCCGTACGTTTACCCGAGTCAGGATAAAACAAAAAGAAAAAAAACGTCCACTGCCTGTCTCTCTCTCACCTTCTTTATATCCTCGATGCATTTGATGATGTAACTGCGTTTTACAGTCTCCTTGACGGCATAAGCGTCACTCAGAATCCCGAGGTGTTCCTCCAGTGCCTGCTGAACGAGGCTGGTAGGCAGGGTGGGGAGGTGGGCAAGCTCCCACAGCACCTCCAGCACCTAAACACACACAAACAAAGCCCCCTGATGATTCACACTCAGAGGAATGCCTTCTACCCAGGTCTCACCAAAAAAAACTCTCCTTGAGCGTCTATAGAATCCCAAATGTGCTTCACCTTGAGGAGAAGAGAAAACACAGCCCACCTTTCCTGTTGTGGTTTCGGAGCGAGCCTCCCGGCCTATTCTCCCGATCAGGCTGAGCAGCTTCTGCCTGACGCGGTCACTCTCCACCTCCCAGCTCTAAAAAGCAAACATGTTACAGAAAAACAACCACAAAAATACAACAGCGCCATAAAAACACTCCAAACACACACACACACAACACGCTTAGGGGACCCTTCTCGGCACTGACCTTTTGGATGAGGACAAAGAGGTGGGTGAGCTGGTCAAAGCTGAACTTCACAGCGGCGGCGGCGATTATTGTGTGAATGTTCTCTATCACGGTCGATGATTGTCCGGCCTGAGAGGACCAAAGAAGAATACTGACGATTCGTTTTCCCGTTTTTAAGTTGGAAGTAGACCGAACGAACGGCGCAGAACCTAAGGCCTGCGTGACCTCAACGTCCGAGCTTAGTTGTGCCCTGACCTGTATTCTCCAGATCTTGGAGAGTTCGTCCAGCGACAGCTTGCTCCCCAGCAGCTCAATGATTCCCTTAATCCTTTCACAGTACTGAGCCTGGTCGATGTTTCCTGAAACGAGAAGAATGTCCGACATCTGTCAAACTGCTGAAACCTCAACATGTCATTTTGCTCCTGAGGTTTTCTTTTCTTTTTCCCCTCCGTATCCGTCTTTACCTTCCAGTGCTATTGACAGGACCGAGTTCTCCACCAGCCAGTCGAGCAGCTTGTCGGTGTCGATGGCGTTCTTCACCGTCTTGGACACCGTGCTCTCCTCTATTAACTTGGTCACCTGCAGGGACAGGTGTGCGTGAGGCAGGGTGGGAAACAGGTGCCCCGGCCTTCCCCAAGCCCCCCTTTGACGACTGACCTCTTTGAGGGAGTTCATCTTGGTGGAGAAGTGTGGCGTTTTGAGCATGCGGAGCAGAGTGTCCAGACGCAGGTCGTCCACCACGGCCACCAGCTCCCTCTGGAACCGCATGCACAGCAGCTTGATGGCCGACAGCAGGTCCGGGATGCTCACCAGACGCTAGGGTTAGAGGAGCGTGGTGGGGTTGTGTAAACATCGATTTGTGGCTTTCCCTACGGGCCCCGCTAAAATATTTCCACTTGCAAGTGCAATCCGGTTTTGTGACATCTCACAAATCAAACCCTACCTTGTCTTTAAGGTCCTTCTCCTCCAGATTCTGCACATATGTGATCATCTTGTGAATGACCGGATCGAGCATGGGCTGGGAAAACACAAGGTGAGACTTTGTTGGCTTCTGTGGGGGTCTCCTTATGTGTGTTGGTGTAGGCTTCGCTTTGTGGCAGAGGAACGGGCATGTAGGCTCACCTGCACGAGGCTTGAGTTGAGGTACTCGGCACAGACTCCGAGAGGCTGGACAAGAGCCGACACGCACTGCGTGGGGCAGGCAGAAAAAAAAGAAAAGAAGGAAACCCAATCAGGAAATGGCATGCTGAAAACCGGCGGCATGTGCCAGAGATTATTCATCAGCCCAAAGTTAGTGCTGCCTGACGGGAAGTGGCCACATCACCATGGTAACATAGGATTTTCGAGTCGCCATATCTTGTTGCGAGGGCCCCACCGCAGGGAAGCATCTAATCAATACATTTTCCCTCCGGTCTGAGCTTACACGATCGCGTTATGGTGGAAGTGTAAGCGGATCTAAGTGCGCCTCGGCGTTTGAAACATCCGGCGTGCATTAACTTATTTAATTGCATTGCAAATCTTTTTTTATTTTGGCACCTCTCCTCTAATGTTGGGTTCCGCTCCTGAGTTTATTCTTGTTATTTGAGAGGTTTTTTGGAGCTAGCCGGCGCAGAGAGCTGTGCTGGAGGTTCCTCACAGCGCGCTCTGCTTCCCCACTCAGTTAAAGTGCACAGGCAGGTCAGAGTGAGCAGGACGACTTTTGCCCAATCGCAGGAGCTCAGTGAATGGCTCCCGCGCCCCCTCCCCCTCTGCTCTCTGCGAGCGGCTCACTGTCCTCTACTTTCTTCCCCAATTCGCTCACTAACCACGAGGCCCTCCGCCCCACCTGACTTCCTGTCAAGGCAAAGTGAATTAATGAGCCCCTCCCGGGAGGACTCCTCCCATTGTGCTTGTTGCTTTCACTTTCAGTCTTTTTTCTATCGTTCCTGAACCATGCGAGGTCTCTGACAGCAAAAACACACACACACACACACATGCCTGAGCGTGCGCTGCGGAGACAGTGTTTGCCTTATTAATATGCAAGCCACTCAAGGGAGTGTGTGTGAGTGATTGTGTGTGTGTGTGTGTGTGTGTGTGTGTGTGGGTGTGTGTGTGTATATGTGTGTGTATATGTGCACACGCGGGATCAATGGCTAAGCCAGGCTTCAGATCCGGTCAGGTTCCCTAAAGGAAGCATCAGTACAAGGATGCCTCAGAACACATAAAACAACAGAGCATTTCAGCCATGGCACAGTGGGAGGATGTAAAGAGTGTGTTTATGTGTGTGGGCCTACTAGGTGGAGGGGGGTGGGGGGGCATTCGTGCCCCTGCAGCTGAAAGTAAAGAGAGGAGGGGGGGGGGGTAAACATGGTGACCTTTTGCCTGCATTGGCTGTATCAAAGTGTGTCTGTCCATCAGAGGGAACACAGTTATTTCAGCTCTCGAATTTAAGGAGGGTCGGTCTTACAGCGATCTCGATTTCCTCAGTGTGGAGCTTCGTCTGGATGGCAGTGAGTCCTCCCAGCTCTCCGAACTTTGCCACAGTTAAAAAAAAAAAAAAAAGGAAAGGGGGGGAAAAAGATAAAATGTGAGGGAAAGATGTCAGGCATCGTGATTCCACAGTTTCACAGGAAATTCTTAACTTACTCGATTAATTAAGTCGACCAGCCAACCATGAGGCTCCTGGAACAGAAAAAAAAGATTAAGGGTGGCTTTAGTGGGAAGTACTTCACAGTGACGCAACAAACTGAAGGCAGTGGTGCTTTAACGTTTTCGGACAGCTGTTGTTGGTCAGTCATGCTCGTTCCTCTGAGCCAAGTGGCTCAATTACACAACAGTGAAGACGGACAGCTTGTTTTCCCCTCCCTTTGGTTTGGAAGAACTGTGAACTAAGCTCCAGTCCCGCTTCGCCTCTTTCCCCATGCCATCGGGCCTGATATACTCTCAGGGATAGAAGGCAAAAAAACCCAATAACAACAAAAATAAGCCGTTTATGAGAGTGTTGGGAGAAATTCAACCTGTACACTGCATACAGTGTAGCAGGGCGCCAAGACAACATTGTGACTATGACAAACCCTTCACAGAAAACGGATGCAGAGAGGACCCCCCCTTACTTTCTGGTAGGTGTTTGGGGAGACGGCAAACATGTTGGCCTCGTCTCCGAAGACTTCCGCCCAGTTCCTCTGGCAAGCCTTCATCCGGTTCTTGAAGTGATACTCATTATCGGGGTTAAGGGCCTGGCCACAGGGAAGAAAAGGAGAGAAAAAAACATAACATTGACACATGGGGTAAAGCTGAATAAATACAGAGATGCAGATCGATGGGAGAAGTGGGACAACGCACCATGGTCAGGACCCCCATCAGGTTGACAGGCACGGGGTCCTGCTTCACCCTCTCGGCGACCAGCTCCACCAGCAGCATCAGCATGTTGTAGATTCCCTCGTGGATCTCGGTGCCCCACTTGTGCACGGCGCTGCTGGTCAACAGCTGGCGACAGGGAGACAGAGGGGAGACAGAGGGGAGACAGAGGGGGGGGGGGGGGGCGCCGCTCCGGGGGTCGGGCGGGGCTTGCGGCCCGGGGGGGGGGGGGCTTACCTTTTTGAAGGCCTCGGGCATGCACCGCTCCATGAAGCGCTTGCAGTTCTCGTCGGCGTCGGCCAGCCCTGGCGGGGAGGGGAGAAGTCTGGCTCACGTATTCCACCCAAACGTACCCTCTGAGGTGGCCCCCCGGCCGCCCCAGAGCGGAAAAACAAACCCACGTCGTCTTACCGTGCCGAGCCAGGCAGGTGGAGGCGATGAGACACTTGCCCAGGGACTCCTCCCTCTTGTAGGGTATGGACCAGTGGTCGGTGAAGACGCGACTCTCCAGCTCGTACAGGTTGGTGGTGGGGAACTCCATGCTGCCTCCGGAGCAGTTCCCGTTCTCGTCGTTGCTCCGCTGAAAGGCACAGCCGCAGCTAATTAACCAGCTGATGCTGAAGGTGACTTTGGAGGCCCTTTCCTTTCACAGTGACGCTGCTCTGTGCGACGCCACCAAAATACAAATGGCTTCTGGCACAGGGGGCTGTTTGATTCTTGCCTTCCCTCTGGGAGGACGGCCACGGCGGTCATTGGGAAACCGCTCTGCTCGGCCGCTTTGCCCTTCACTTCTGCCTCGCATTTGCGCCTCTGCCTCCTTACAGGACAGCTTTAAAAAAAACAATCAGCGCTTGTGCTCGTTTCCAAATCTCAGACTGGCAATCAGATCTAAAGGGCCGTGATGCGGAAGGTGAGGTGTGAGGGCCACAGGCGGGTTTAGGGAACCCGCTTCTGCTGTTAACGACCAAAGAAGATTTCAAATTCACCTCCCTGTATTTCATTTCTTGACTGCCACGACAATGAAAACAGAACGTGGTGAGAGTCCACGCTGGGAAAGCAACAGAAGACAAAGGCTTACTGAATAATTCAGACGGTAAAAGTTGTTCACATATTCATGATTAAACTGCAGAGGTCCCTCTGCTGAGAGGGAGGTTTCTAAAAGCCATGGCTGACAGCAGCTGAACTGTTTCATGAAGCCATCTTAACCTGCCGAGCCCACACGTTCCGCTCCCACGCCTTCACAACCGGGTCAAGCTATCACAACAGGTTGGTCAATGTTTGCCCGCGGGCATCACAAAGCTTAAATATTACTCAGGAGAACGGGGTCACGCGCAACCCTTCTGAATATTCAGTCGCTTATTACAAGACAAAGCAGGCCGGCGTGTTCAGCGCATGTTTCTCTGCTCTTCGGAATCTCGAATGGCATTATTGAAAAAAAAGGAAATGGACGGAGATGGGGGGAGAAGATGCAAGAGAGGAGCATCATGTTTCATTTCTTCCCTTTTGAAGAAAATGAGATCTGACAAGACAGATGAGGAGAAGGGAAGTGGGGTGGAGGCAGAACTGATGTAGTGACCAACTAAGGAAAAGACATCCACTACCCCGGAGATATAGTATGTAAACCTTCTCAGCTACCACCATCATTAACCTAAGCAGCAGGAGTATCCAGACAGAGGATCCAGGAGAAAGTAAAGCCTGGAAAGCAGAGTGTGCGTGTGCGTTGTTGGGCTGGGCCGCTCCGTTACCGTGCACTCGCAACCCCTCTCGGGAACCCCAGACAAAAAAAAACTGCAATGTGTTTGTGTGTGTGTCCAAGAAAGTCCAGGGCTATATTTAGGACCATAAGACGAGGTTGAAGATCCGTGACAGGTTTCTTCAGCCCAGATACAGTAAACACGGGGCGGGAGGAAAGAGGGGAGGCTCAGCCTGAAGTTGTTGCATTGGCAGAATGTCCAATGACTTGGCCCTAATAGTTACGAGACTGGAAGGGAACAAGGTATCGGTAAAAAAAAAAAAGAGAGGGAAGAATAAATACTGAATAAAACTGGTCTCCCACAACAGTAAACACTTCAATGAATGACATAAGATCTTGGGCGGTTAGAATCAATAATACTAACTTAAGTATTCTTTAAAGGAAAGCAACAGGTCTGAGGTCAAGCTGCTGGGGACAAGCAGCCAAATTCCTGCAGGTGCCAGTCAGAATCATACCCAGTGGTATGTAAAAAGGAACTTATCAGAGTCCTTTGCATTTTACAGTCCCTTCACAGCACATGACCACAGCTGACTGGTACAAAGTATTATTTACTTATAAGTAAATTACTATTAAACAAACAGCAACTGCCCACACACTGTCACTGTCCACACACACAACTCAGTGCTCGGTGAATGAGACAAAAGCCGCCACCCAGATGAAAACATGAAAATGCAAAGCGTGGAATTCGCAAAATGGCCTCGTAGGTCAAATAAATTGCGAAACTGATTTTCGATCAAGTTCGAGAGGACTTGCCACCACGAGAGGAGTTCAGCACCGCTGACACCACCGGGCAACGTTCTAGCTAACGGGCGCTAGCCCGATGCAAATCACGGGCACCGTTTCAACTATGCGGTCCTTATTCTGACCGATGAACGAGATTAAGCCCAACACGGGCTCCAGTCAACGAGCTGATGTTGTGATCCGCCGGGGATGCTTCTGTGCGGCAGAGTCCTGCTCCACATCACTGGCGCGTTAAATTCTCCACGAACCTCGCTAGCCGGCTGCTAGCTTAGCTAGGTTAGCTTGCAAGTCTAAAATAGCTCTTAGGCTGTATTATTTTCGGTAAACGAGTCAATTATGTACGCATACGTCTCTTGTGAGTTTAAAGGAGTTATGTGGCCCGTCCTGGACGACTGGGGAACGTTAACCTGCAATGACAGCTCGCCGCTAAACGTGGTGCATGTAGCACTAAAAGTGCTAACTTTGGCTGGTTAAATGGGCGAGCCCATTCTCCGCTGCAAGTTGCAACTAGCCTCGTTCTCCTCCCCGGTCCGTTCTACTGATGGTTGTTCAAAGGCGTGTATTATTATTATCATTTTATTATTATATTTTACCTCGCTGTCCACTACATCGTGGTATGCTGGAGGGGGGTCGAATCCACCCGTTCCGGTCCGCCCGCTGTTTTCCCCGTCTCCACTCGTGCCCAAGCCGGGGGAAGGCACACTCTCCATCGGCTCGTATCCGTACCCGAGACCGGGGCTTTCGTTGGTCAGGAGCGCCACCGCCTCGTTGATGTCATTCTTTGCCAGCCGCAGCGCTTTTCTTATCACGTCGGGATCCGGAAAGCCCATGCAGAGGAGCGTGGTTATGTGCTGCTCCTCTTCGGTCTCCATTTTCGGGGTGTCTCCGTCTCTTAGACTAATAGTAACGGGGTGTTCGGCACAACCCTGTAGCTGTGCACGCCGCCATGTTTACAGTCCGCCGCTGCAATTCGTCTGTCACGATTCGCTTTCCAGAGAACAGCGCCGACAGAGGTGTTTAGGGGAATTCTGGCTGCCGGGAGCGCGCCTGCCCGGTCCCCGGGAGCACAGGGTAATAGACGATTAACGACATCATCATTTCAACCGTGCAGTCTTTTTTATTTGTAACAGCCAAAAGTTACGGTCAATATGACAAGCCACGTCTGAGACTGATTCTACAACACATGAACTTGGGGCATAAATAGAATCTGATAACGTTTTAAAAACGCCTAAAAAAAGCTAATTTACTATTTTTCCACCCTAAAAAGTCTACAATGATGGAGGTATAGCATTTAACTTAGTCCAATTTTTTTTTTAATTCTACATTTTTTTTGCCTGTTTGTTTGACAATAAATAGTTTTTTAACTGGGCCCATCACTTTCTAAACTTACAAAGGCAGCTGAAGGTGTTTGGGATTGCATTTTTGAAATTGTTTGAATAATATATAAGAAATATCTGTGAAGGAAATACAATTATTGACGTGTTTTAATTAATCCTAATTATTAATTTACTTAGCGAAGTTAGGCGCGTTATTTCGGGTAGGTTGTTCAGGGCGTGGCTGCGCGCGCGAGTGGTGGCCGGTGATCGTCACGTGACGAGCCAACTCATGTGACACGGAGAAATCATAACAGGAACAAAATGGCTGCAACCGGAGACGAAGCCGCAGCCATGGACAGCATCTCCAAGGAACCGGCCGGCGCCTCGGCCGCCCTGAACCCGGCCCTTAGCGGCTCCGGGCAGCTGCAACGTCCCGAGGACGCCGCGGAAAGTCCGACGACCACTCCAAAGAAGCCCGGCGCCAACAGTAATTTGGGTTGTCTTTCCACTTCCGGAGCATGCTAATTCTGAGAGTACCCACGTTATTTAGCTTTTTTGTGGGGGTCGCTGTATGTGCCAGCTTATTTATAGATATATATGTTTATTTATTTTCCAGAATTTTGCATTGCTTTGTAAATTCAGCTATGTTCCCTGTCGGTGTGCTCAGGTGATGGTGGCGTGGAGACCGCAGAGGAGGCTGTGGAGCCCGCAGAGCCCGATGTCAATGAGCTGTGCAACGATATGTTCGAAAAGATGGCCATCTTCCTGCAAGGAGAACTAACAGGTTTCTCTCCCTCCCAGATATTGCATACTCTCAGTCTCATGCTTTCATTGCAAACAACAATTATATTTTGTAGCCCTTGACATGCGTGGCTTATGATTTCTAGCTAAGACGTGCCTTTTTGTTCAAACGTGTGTCCTGTTTTTTTTCTTCCTGAGTAACACGTATTGTGTCCCCTCCCCCCTCCAAATTATACATGTTCTCTCCCAATCTTCCCACTTTCTCAGCCACCTGTGAAGATTACTGCCTGTTGGAGAACATGAACAAACTAACAAGTCTGAAATACATGGAGATGAAAGACATCAGTGTTAATATAAGCCGGAACCTGCAGGATCTCAACAACAAGTGTAAGGATATATATATATATATATATATATATATGTGTGTGTGTACATTTTACATGAACCCATGTAACAAAATGGCCTATTTCCTTTTATGTATATTTGTTTTAGACGCTAGCTTACAGCCATATCTGGACCAGATAAATAAGATAGAGGAACAAGTATCAGCACTTGAACAAGCTGCCTACAAACTGGATGCCTACTCCAAGAAACTGGGTAAGAACCTCAGTGCACACATGTAGGAGAGTTCTGCAAAAACAGAACAGGATTCTTAAAAAAAAAAAAAAGTAAATTAAACATTTTCAATTTCACAGTAGAGGCCAGAATATTTTTTTTGCTTCACAATGTTTAAGGAGTAGCGTATCTCTGTGTCCTGTAGAGGACAGGCCCCGCAGGACATTGAGGATGTGATGGCCCCTGTGTGCTGATTAGTTTTTGAGGGGCAGGGTGTAACTTTATCCAGGACAGCTGCCTCTGTCAGCTGCTATGGCAGCAGAGGGCGCTGTAAGACCACTGATTTATTCCCCGTCTATTTCTTTGTTACAACAATGACGGAAAGCCAAATATGGTTTGATATGGTTGCATATTGTTTGTGTGTTAATCCTTTAGTAGTAACACTTATCTCTGTTTTTATCTACATAGAAGCGAGATTCAAAAAACTGGAGAAGCGATGAGGATGAAGATGAGGCGGACTTGAAAATTCCACTTCCCTGTCACTTTCTTTCACCCTTTTCCGCCCTCTGCTCCCGCTGCCAGCGGGGCCAGAAGCTACAGAGAGGATGTGAACTGAGGCTGAAACAACAAACGGAGCTACTCTGACACTTAGAAATGGCTGTGAAGGAAACAACCAAACACATAGAAAAGCTTCTGCAAAGTTGAGCACGGGCTCGGCTCAAGTATCAATCATTCTGCCCAGCCAAGGGGTGCAATGTGTAGCCACGTCAGGCTTTGATTAGCCTTTGAAGTTCCACGCAGACATTTGGTTGTCACTTATTAACTTGCCAGGTATCCTCAACAAGAACCACGAACAGCTCGACTTTTGACGTCTTCTTTTGTGTGCGTGAAATCTAAGATGTAAGAGATCATCCGCTCACAGAGCCGTCTCTGCCGTGGGTTTTGTTTTAAAAGACGTTTGCTGTCTAAAAGACAGTTGGTACGAATTATGCCATTGTGTCTATCCAAAATACAACACTGATTTGAAACAAATGACAAAAAAAAACACACTCTTTGTTGCATTCTTTGCCTTCGAAATGATCCTGATGCCGACAGCAGATGGCAGACTCTCCCTGCGATAGTCGGCTTATCAGAGATTGTGTTCTGAAGCTCTGGAAAAACTGATTCAGCTGTCAAAGCAGTTCTGAGCTGTGGCTTTTTTAAATGGATTTTCTTTTAAACAAAAAGTAAACACTCAGAGACTGTGAGAAAGAAATGAAAATCCTGTATTTTAAAATGAGACGGATGCACGAACGAAGATGGGCACTGCCTCCTGCCTTTCTTTTCTTCTGTATGTTGACTCCCCCAGAGCAGAACACAGAGGTCTGTTTAACCTAACTCACGATATCTCCCTTGGAGTCTTCAGGTTTCTGTGTTTCTGTGTGTTGCCTCTCGCATACGAATAAATGTGTGGATAAGGCCTAATCTAAACCAGGTCTCTGTCATTAGTGCAGTTGAGGCCCAGGCACAGAGGGAGCTCATTATTCTTACTGTAACATTATTTACTGTTGCACTGTGATCCCTCCATCTCCCTGCTTATTTCCAGGCCCCTTGGGCATAAACTCAACTCTCCTCCCAAAAGGTTCCTTAAGGCAGGTCTATTAAATGCTTTTCGGTTGTTTTCGTAAAGCAAAAAGTGAATGCCAGGTTGCAGTCACGCATGTAGGAGAAAGTAACATATCAATCATAAAAATAACTTTCTCCTAATACTCAGCTGGGAAAACTACTTGAAAACCTTACCACGCTATAGTACCATATTTTGGGTGCAGTCATTCTGTGCTAAACAATTTGTTTTTCTAGATTCGTCAGAAGGAACACACACAAGGAGGTGTTTGTAGCCGGGGCTGGATTTTATAGTGAATTACATAGCCAAAGCAAGCATTTTCCCTGCTGGTTTCTCAGTATAAACATTTTAAAACAATTGCGAGGGAGCCAATTTTTGCACGATTGGGATCATGCGGTAAAACGGGCGCAGGTTATTGGGCTGTGGGATCTCCACAGCCTCTGGTACCTCTCTGCTTTGAGTCACTCTCCCATAGCCGGTGCATGAGCTCTTTTTGGAGCCATTCTCTGGAACAGACGATTTTTTTGGCTCTTCATGGGCTTTCTGTGGCATGCTTTAACCATCCTTTGATGTGGTATCCGTTGGTTGTGTTCATTTAACACATTTCCTCATGTTCACCTCAAACCGAGTCTTCTGACACTTTGTTATACGTTTCCCTCTAAAATGACTAGGCTATATTCTGCCTTTCATCCTTTATTTGATTCATTCGGTGCCTCCAGCACCAGCCTGATGGGACCGGCACTATGTTTAGTCATACGACTGGTTCTTTTTATTGGTGCGCATTATTTAGTGGGTAAATAATCCGATGCACTCTTCCCTGTTTCTCCGGATGCAGTGTGTGGTTGAAGTTGGTCCCCAGTGAATCCAAAGACCTGTACTGGGACGTTTTCTTTAACTCTTAGGTAATCCGACGTCTTTTCAGAGTTCCTCTGTTTTTCCCGGTGCTCCGAGACTTTTTGCAGCCATGTGCATTCTCCTGATGCAACCTGACACTATTTTGGATTGAAGCGCTTATATTATTCAACCTGACAGACCTAAGTGAAGACAGGATTTATCGGTTTGATTAGCTCTGATAGAGCTTAGGATCTGGGACTGAGAGTGTATCAAACACATGTCTGTTATCAACTGGAGCAAAGGGGGGGGGGGATTTCTCCATAGCGCTCACCATGCGATAGAGCCCGCTAACAATAACAGGGCAGGATGCCACACCACAGAGTTGTGTAACCGACTTGCAAGCATGTAGTTTGGGAAACGCTCAGCTTGCGCTGGTGAATGAGAGTCAGCAAGGACACTCACCACGCCACTCTCAAGACCTCAAGATTAGTTTTTTTGTTGTTTTTCCTCGTTCAGAGATGTCACTTAACAGGCCAATGTCAACAAATTCTGAAGTGTTGTGAAATCGTTCCTCGTCCCTTTCTCTTTCGCTTACTTTCACACGGGGCCGATGAGACAAACAACCCTCCATGACTCAATGCGAGGACATTTGAATCCCCCCCCCCATGCGCCTGTGAGCCAGTGACAGAGACGGTAATGGCATACTTGCTGGTGTTTACATCCCTTTCAAAGAAGCCAAGGGGTCTGGGAAGTATTTTGGTGCAAATATGAGCCACATGTGAAATCTCTAAGACGGAGGCAAACTTCAAATATCCTCAACACGAAGGGCACGGGAGTCCGAGTGAGGTAAACCTCTGGCATCATGACCACCTTCATCTTTTACTTTGCGGCTTCGGGAGCAAACGCAAACCCTACACAGCCCACCTGAAATGGAAGTCAGAAAAACAAAACCTGTCAGTCGTGTGGTTCTTCGAGCACCTTTGCAAAAGATGGATGAACGCAACAGAAACGTCCAAGCTGTCCCTTCATTTTGAAACCTAAAATGAGAGCAGATGTGATGGCTGCCTAGAGCCAGAGGTGTTTTTTGGAGTCTGAGGCAGAGCTGGTCTGAGCTCAGCAGGTGGAGAGAGACTGTCAGGTCCGGCTCTGCCGTTGAGTTTGACGTGAAGACCGAGAGTCTGCTCCGCAGAAAGACCAAACCAACAATATTGGGGGTTTGCTTGTGTAAACCGGGTTAAAGTTGATGTAAGCTCAGATCTGGTGAATCTCCCTCCAGGCTCATCATGCTGCCGTGCTGCTGTTTAAACTCTTGGAAGGAATCGTCCTTCCAAGTGCAATATTCCTACAGCTGTGTCTAAATCAATTTGGCACGCACACACACACCGACACACACTATCACAACCCACTCAGACCTTTTGGCACCACAGCCATCAGAGTTCTTCTGTCTCTGCATTAGTGTTCTGCATGGACAGTGTTAGCAGCCACTCCTAGGAAGACTTTTGTCAAATCGTTGAACAAGTCAACTCCTGCCAGTGCTCTAATTATTGTTGTTCTAATTTTTAAAAATCAAATAGCATTCAGAGACTTCATACGCTAGCATCTGACGGTGATTGTCGTGGATTATTTTGAGTTTGGGTTAGTTTGGATCAGTGATACTGATCATGGCCAAACACTTTCTGTATAGCAGAAATTCCTAAATGATGAAATAATTACAATTTAAACATGAATAGATATACATCCCGTCATCCATTTTCTGCTGGATCCACCCGCCTTACGCCCACGGCCTGCTGGGACAGCTGTTTGGAAGGGCAAATAACCAATGAATAAAAATGGGAAAGCTGAAAAGACTTTCCAAGACTAAATTTGTTTTTGATTTTCTGCACAACTCTCAATTCAATCCTTTCAAATCCAAGCTCTTGGTATTAAAAAAAACAAAACAAAAAAACAAATAACCTGATGGCAGACACAACAATCACTGCTCCAAAGATCATGTGCTGTGGAAATTAAATTCAAGCTAATAACAAAAAGATCTGCTCGACACGTTGCCCATTTAATCGATTTCAACTTCCTCTGAGATGCTGAAAGTATCTCTTGCAACTTTCTCTAGATCGGTGAAACCCAAGCAGTCACGGAGCACACGGGGAAAAAAAGTTCTGCTTTGCGTTAACTGGGAGTGCATGCAAGCAACCGGAGAGAGATCCAGCATATTATTGAATTAGACATGCTTTTGTTTCTGCTTGCTAAGTTAGAACGGACAAACTGTGCAGAAACACACAGACCTTGAGGGGAAGGCCTCTAAAAAGCATGTCTTAGACTGAATAATTGACTTAACCGAGCAGTTAAATCAGATTCTACATGCAGATTCTTTGTGCAACAACATATGTGATTGATTGATGCGGGTCAGGTCTTTCTGAATTCAGTGATCTCTTTCGCAACTGTCCTACTTTCAATGAGCTTTGGCTGGTTGTCCGAGCTAAGTATAACAGCAACAGAGCAAGAGGAAGGGGAAGGAAGCTGGAATAATATTTGTCATGATTACATGGAGAACATAAACAGGAGTGCACCTGGCTCAAATAGAATACCTGGTCAGTTTTGCTGTGTGTGCTATATTTAAGTAGGTGGTCCTCCTTTAATTATGTGCGCCGGTTATGATTGTATCAGTGCAATTCTGCCAACAGTATCATGTGATTCCTTTGTTTCTTCTTGGTTTTCCAGTTGTCCTAAAGTCTTTTTGATTACGCCTCCATCAAGAGTTAACAACACACCCTTATAAATGGACATAACTTAATAGACAAAACAATTTGTATCTGTATGCCTGAGACTTGGGCTCAGACATTAGAATTCTCACAGAAAATGTCAAATGACGGCTCACATGGAAGCCAGTCAAGATTCCAGTCATGGTCAAAAACCCAGCTTTGTCATCCCTGAGTTACACAGTTTGGAAGCGTTCCTGAAAATGTCATCGACAAGGCTTTGGCTTCACCCAGCAGGCTGCGTAATGTGAATTTCAACATGAAGCCAACTGGCAGTCTGTTCTTAAAGTCATGGAAAAGTGGAAAATCTTTGTCGTCCAATCTTTTGCATTGTTCATTTGTGTATTACATCCTCCGCATCCCTCCCTGTCTCTAAACCTTCCTTTTCCTCTTAGCACTAGGTCTCCTGTTGCACGTAGTAAACCATTTATATTTTTAATTGGAATGCGTGGCTTTGCTGTACATCTGGATCAATGAGAAAAAGAGGTTAGCTCTGTGTGTGCGTGTGCCCAATCTTGCCTCCAAGATGTAATAATACTGCTCATTTTGCAAATCACATGTAACCAAAGCTCTGTATTTACCTCTCAGACCTGAGTTCAGCTTGCCCTGATTGCCTCAGGGTTTTTGGGGTGATCATGACATTACCTTGCTTTGTTTCAGAACCATGTGGGAAACCAAATTTCCAAAGCAACTATGACACTGTAAAAGGTCAAAAAGAGAAAAAGAAAAAAGAATGCAATTACCTTGTCCAAAAAAAAGTATATTTCCTACTAATACATTAAAAAACAATGTTGTAAGTTGCTTATATTACTGCTTAATGAATGATAGTTCATTTTGAATATAATGGAACGTGTTTCAAATAAGTTGGGTTGGGGGGAATAAGAGATGTGAAATGTGGTAAGAAACATAAAAAAAAGAATAAAAATAAAAAACATTAAGAGGAACAGGCTGATATAAATGCAACAGCTTCTGTTTCCTCCAGCAAAATCCAACTGAAGTGATATCTTTCACATGGGCAATAAACAGTTTCAATAAATAATACATTTTTATGTGTTTTTATTTGGGATGCAATATTGATTTATGAGCTTTGCAAGTCGCTGCATTCCATATTCATTTACAACTGCACATAGCTTTCCTTTTCTCCCTATTTTGGCTCTAAACAGGATAAATGTGGCTTTGCTTGAACGTCACTCTACCAGTGAACATAAACCTTCCCCTAGTTACCTTAAGTGTCACAGAAGAGAGGAGGGAAATAGAGTGAGAGTTATGATTGATGGCTTTACCCCCCTCTGCTTTTGAGATTTGTATGCTCTGTAACTGGATCTAACCTGCAACAGATGTGATAGATAGGTGTGTTCCTAGTGTAAACCTGCGGAGAAAAAACGAAAAGGAGAAGGATCTTTCAGATTGTATCTTTCCGTATAAAAACAAAATTCAGATTAGATGCATATACATGTCGGCAGGAAAAATAAAGCCCTCAAGAAGATGTTTGTCTAATGAAGCAATGCCTCGATGTGGTGGATCTCCAGAATTTTAACTGGCCTCATCAATAAACAATAAAAAGCCAATGAGCAGTTTGACATGTTTGAAAAACTATTTGAATGTGTGCTATGATATACATTGTGGACAGATCACCCTCTGTGGGAGGACCCACACACGCTGAGAAGATGGTTCAGGCCAAATAATCTCCTCTGGTCAGGAACCAGGAACCACCTGAATGGAGGTGAAATCTAGGTTGTAGCCATGATTAGAGCTGTTCAAACCAATTCTTCCAATAACATCCCCCTTCAGCACAGGAAACGTGGTCCATCCTTTATTTAAAAAGCAAGATCCTTCCGACTCACAGTTGTTTGTGGCTGCAAATAAGTGAAAGAGCATCCACAGTGCTGTCTGAAGAAAATCAGCCAGAGGGGAAACCACTTGGTGGGGAAAGGGTTGGTGGATGGGAGCCGAGGCAAGATAATAAAGTCAGCATCGCACTACCACATTTGTCTTTGTCAGGCTGTGCTCCGAGAGAAAACTGATGTTATGTTCACTTGGTGGCATCGTTTTTTATCACAGGTTCGCAGGTGGAGCAGCACAGAGGATCCAAACAGCCCTTGATGAAACGAGAAGTAGCGGACTTCTGGTTGATACCAAACATCCTCGCGATTCTAATTCAAGCAAATACATTGGAAGACGAGGAAATGGTTATTTTGAGAGCAGCGCTTAAGACCTTGACGGTGTGTGTGTGTGTGAAACGAGGTTGTTTTTGTGTGCGGCGGCTCTATAGGCGTGTCTGTCATGCCACCGGTGACCCTCAGATTCCCTCCTGTGCGACGTCATGTCACTTCCCCCCTTTGTTCCCTCACTCAAGAGGACCATTCTAAAAATGACTTTTTGTTTAAAGCTTCTCAACAGCCCGCTTTCCTCCTTTGCTAGACAAAGGTACGAGTATTTATACATTAATGACACCCTATATTAAAAACAGGAACTGTTGAGATGCAGATGAGGATGCTGAAGGGTGGGTATTTTCCCCTTTTGCTCTGTAACTACATACAATTAAGGATTCTGTTTCACAACATAATGGTGGGGACCTTTTCACCACGCACACTTCATTCAAAGTGAAAATTATGTACCTCCCATGTTGTAAGCCTCACCTCTGTACAGGGTAACCTTTGGTTTGGACCACAGTGCAGCACATAGACACAAAGTTCCCCCTGAGACTTTTTTAGGAACTACTAATTATATCCAGACAAGCGTGAGGTAATACTCTAG